AATTTAAAATTTATGCAGTAATGGACATTTGATAGTTTTTAATTATCTGAATTAAATTTAGGAGCAAAATAAAATACTAAAATAGTATTGTATGGATAATGGCAGCGATTTTATGATTTTTATTTCATTCTATACAATTGTTGTTATTCCATATCCATGTAAATCGGGCATAATTAATAGTGTTTTTATGAAATTGGGTTAAATTACTATTTATAGGCAGTAATTAATGTTTTTGGCGGGAATTAGTTACTAAAAATTAATTAAGTTAATCCTTATTATATATTAATAGATTAACCAACTTCCAATTAGCATTAAGAAATGGTAAGCAGCTTGATGTCGCTTAAGCAAGGTCTCGGGTTCGATTCCTTGTGGATGCAGAAAATCTTTGTTGGGAGACTCACCCACCACTGCCAGGTGTGCGACCCGAGTCGACCAACGGATTAGTCGGGGCATAGTTCCGAATACCGTGGCTGGCTACCAAACAAAAAAAAAAAGGTAACTATCATTTTTCAAAGAGGATGAGAGTAAGATAACAAGTGGCAAAAACTACCTACAAAAATGAAAACACTATGAATAACCATTTCAGATGATAATAAGACGCTATCTATTACTATAAAATAGAGTTAAGGAAAAATACAATTTTAGTAAGTTTTTTCCCGCTCAATTATTTCGAAAATTACCTTTTCTGGAAATTTTTTTGAATTATTTCACAAATCCCGCCTAAAGTTTTTTATTTGAATTTGAATAGGAAAAAACGAAATTCAGTTTATTATTATTTACACTCCTATTTTAACTCCTTTTTTTTAGGAAAAGATTTGGTTAATTAAAAAATGAGATTCAGCTTATTAATATACACCCTAATTTTAACTCCTTTTTTAAAGGAAGAGATTTGTTTTGAAATTTTTTGAAATTTTTAAAGTTATTTAAATTATAGAAACCGCTTGCAACCTTAAAAATTTGATATTCATTTTCCTTAGTTTTCCCGTAGCCATCTAATTCATTATCATTAAAACACCACATTTTTAAATCCCGAATACATTTATTTAACCTCTGTCGAAACGATACGCAAACACGAACGTAACCCGAGTTGATTCGAATCAGCCGAAACGCACTTGCCCCCTGTCGCCGTTCAATTGGGCAAGATTGGGCCCTCGCAAAA